GAGAATGCCATGGCTGGGTTTATTCACTGCTGCCAAACCTCTGCCTCCCCTTGGCTATTGTTCTCTTGGGATACCAATAAGTAAGAAAATGGAATGTGTGACTTTGGGCAAATCCTTTAACCTTGCTGAGTCCCTGCAGGGCTTTTTGGAGAGAAGCCATGGAGGCATGTCTCCTAGAATATGGCTGAAAACACCTGTGGCTTTCATGTGCTACAGGCCAGGTGGGAGAGCAGAGCCAAGGGCTTGGAGTCTGAGGAAGGAGGCATCTGCTGCTGGCTCTGAGAAGGGTCCACCTGGCTGCTGGAATGCAACAGTGTGACTGTCAGTGGGCAGGGTACCCCAGAGTTCCTGAGACCAGGTTCCCAGTGGTGTGCTGAAGGCCAGCCTCTCTCCCTTACTGTCTGACCCAAAAATGGAATCAAAGACACAGAAGGTAGCAGGAGCACCCAATCAGCACTGTTGTGTCTTGCCAAATCATAAGACAAGAACAGGAATGACAGAGATGCTCCCTTTGAACCTTTCTGAACTGCCACTCTAGCACCAGTGAGATACTATGAGGCCAGCAGCAAGAGGAGCCCCTTGGGCCATCCTCAGGTCATGAAAAGCCCATTCAGTCCTTACCTTATCCTGGTGCTTACAAAAATACTGTGGTAGTGTAGGTCAGTGAACTGAATGGCATCACAGGTTTACAGGCCCCTAGTCTGACAGCCCACCCACTGGTCTTGGTCAAATGAGAATGTAAACAAGAAGTGCTGAGACCCCTCTACTTCCTGGCCCTAGGCCTGTGTTTATGTGGCACTTAAGCCAACTTTGGGTTCTTCACTGTCTGCTGTGAAAGCCCTGAAGCTTTTTGAAGTTGCCCTGCAGTTAATAAAATTAGTCGGCCCTCATTGTACCACCTTGGCTTGGGGAAAGATGGATCCTCTGCTGTCTCTGAGGCACTTAGCTTTTTAAATTAATATTATAACCTAAAGAAAGGAGGGTGCAGGGAGGAGATGCAGTAAAACGTCTTGTGAAAGGCCTTTTTGGTAATAGTTAGCACACCTGCCACCTCAGGGCTCTGGTTACCAGGAAACCCAGTGCCAGACCATGGGAAGGCCAACCAATAGGCAGTGTGTGTTTCAGCCTGAGACCAGCATTGGGTGTGTGAGACAGCTAGACCCAGGGTGGGTGGGCTGGCTCACTCTTTGCTGAGCACATCTGCCAATGACATGTCCACCTAAATGATGTACTTTTATCCCCAAAAAGCCAAGAGCCACCTTCTCTTGTCCATCTCTCCCTCCTTACTGCCATAGCATGTGTATATTTCCTGGGAACTTCCATGGCTCAGCATGAATACTATTTGGACAGAACCCCCAATCAGTCTGGTGAGGGAGACTGACAAGCCAGCTGTCAGTGATGAGCTAGAACTGCCATGATGAGACAGAACTACCAGACTCTTGGGGCGGGAGGGTCCTGTCATGGGGAAAACTGCCTGAAGGAAGGCCTGCCCAAGCTGAGCTGGAAAGAGGATGTGAAGGTCTGAGGGGTGGAGGGAAATGTGATAAAGGGACATGAGGAAATTTGGAATGTGGTAGATATGTTCAGTAGCTTGATTGTGGTGATAGTTTCATGAGTATGAACTTACCAAATTATATACTTTAAATATGTACATGCCATTGTATGTCAGTTGTGCCTTAATGAAGCTATTAAAAAAGGAAAGACCCCAGACAAGAGCAAGCATGACACATGTCCCAGCAACCATGTGAGGTGTGCATTTGGAATTTACTTCTGCATTCAGGGAGCATCCAGTAAGGGAACACACTGTGGATCAGAGAATCATGTTTCTGCCTTCATGGACGTTGTATCCTGGTTGGGAGCAATGAAGAGTAACACATAAAAATATGACATATGTCAAGCAATGCTTCACACTCTGAAGACAGAGACAGGCTAAAGAGTTGCAGAGGAATGGGGTGGGCTAAGTGACCCATAGCCTCTGGGGACACTGCAGGCATGAAGTCCTTAACTAGGACCCTTGCTGGACACTAGGAGCTGGCACAGAGATGGGGCACCCTGTCTCTGCCATGCATGGTTCACAGGCAGTGGGACAGAGGGGGCTGTAAACATCACCTTTCCTTAGGGCATGCATGAATCCCTTGAGGCAGAACCTTTGATTTGTTCTCAGCTACATTCCATGTACATGGCAGGCTCTCAGTGGAAGAAAGGCAGAATAGTACTGTGAATGTTCTCTGAGGTAACACCTGCCTCTGTTGCTTGTTTGATCCCACTAGTGCCTTTAGAAGGCAGTTTTCTGAGTAGGGTGGAAGCTCCTTGTGCAAACAGTGTTCTTTTTCATTTCTCAGCCAGCTGCAGTGCCAGGGAAGGTCTTATGTCTCAGTTAGCTTCCACTTCTCCAGCTTGGCATGAGTCAGCTGTGGTCTTGCTCTACTTTGCAAAGGCCCGGCAGACTTGAGTTTGCATTTCTGCTGTGCTTCTGACTTGGGTGGCTGCAGCCCATTTAGGTCTTGTTTCTGAGCTCAGCTCCACCCTCTCTGAAGTGGGAATGGAAACCCTTGTAGACAAAGGTGCTCTATGGGTCAGTGAGACCCCTAATGCCTTGGTGAGCATAGGCTGAGGGACTCTTAATATTGAGGGACTGAGGGGCTCTGAGGATTGGGGGCTGAGGGGCTCTGAGGATTAAGGGGTTCTGAAGGACTGATGGTCTGAGGGGCTCTGAGGATTGGGACTGAGGGACACTGAGGGTTGAGGGGCTGAAGGGCTTTGAAGGGTGCTTTGAAGGTTTAGGGCTGAGGGGCTCTGAGGATTGAGGGGTTGAGGGGCTATGAAGGGCCAAGGGGCACTAAGGATTGAGGGACTGTGAAGGACTGAAGGGCTCCTAGAGGCTAAAGGACTCTGGGGGATGAGGGGCTGAGAGGCTCTTTCTCTTCAACAGCAGAGGATGAGCTGAGGACAGGAAAGGGCAATGAGTGCCTTCACTCATGGGGAATGTGGACTGAGCCATTGGGTCTTGGACACCTATTGTACCTTTCTGGACTGCTGAATGTGAGTGGGTAGGCCCTGCCTCCCAGGGTGCTGGGGTCCTGGGATTTGGGAAAACTGGGAAAGCATTTGGGGCTGGTGATATCTGTTCTGACTCTGCTGTCCTTCAGGTCTAAGGAACCATCTGCATTCAGTTCACCCAGCAGCTGCAGTGGGAGCAGCAGTGATGACAAACAAGTCAGGGCTGGGAGGAAGGGCAGAGCCCACATTGGCCCCAGCCTGCAAGGGTTGCTCTGCTGGAGCCATGTCCAGAAGGATGAGGAGGAGTTCAGGTGTGGGAATGAAATTGGTGAATTATGAAGGGCTGTGCAAGTAGAAATGATTATTCTTATCATTATTTGCATCCAGTTCATCCATCACCTGGGAAAGGAGAAATGCGAGTACCTTTTATCTGGCTCTACAAATCAAATAGAATAGGATATGTTTTTCAAAAAGGTTTTTAGGGTAAATGGGATAACTTCTCCTTTTCATAATAATTCATCTGAGGCCCTTAGATGAATCTTGGGCAGAAGCAAGGTGTTTCTGAAGCTGAGCACAGCCCAGGTCACAGGGGTTCCCAGGATTTTCCAGAGGGAGCCCTATGGAGGCAGCAGATCCCACTATTGACAACACCTGTGGCCTCCATGCTATCGCCTGTGCCAGCACCTGCTTGAACCAGACCCCTTCTCCAGAAAGACCCCAAGCCTGTGCATGGGGCCTGGAGAACATTTCCTCATGTGGTCCTCATGTAGGACCCAGTGTGACAAAGGCCAGGTGAAGCATAGGCCCTGGTCCAAAGAGCAGCAAATTGCAGAAAGAAATTTTGTCAGCCCTGCTAAGGTCATCTAGGGACAGGTCTGGTCTTTAAAATGCATACATCTACACACACACACATCTCTTTTTTTTTACATAGAGGCTAAGCCATCTCTTTTTTTTTTACACAGAGGCTAAGCAGCTTTCTGGTGTGGGCCCTGGAAAGGAGCTGAGCAGGACAGGGAGGCCACCTGGTTGGGGTCTTCTTGCTATACCTCCTTCCCTGAAGGGAGTATGTGAGCTTTGAGTGGACTTAGCAGGGGGAAAGTAACACTTCAACTTTCCCACATTCAGTCCCTTGGGGAGAAGGTCCAATCAGCTCATGATGAAATTAGGGCTGTTCGTAGCTGACTTTTTCATACACAAGTATGTTCCTCCTCTCATTGCGGGCCTCCACCAAGAGACAAGGGGGTGTGACCTCTGCAGCAGAAGGCCTAGCATAAACACTTGGGAGCTGAGGGAGAGGGGACTTCAGCTGAGGTAGAGACAGGAGGGCATCACAGAGGAGGGGCAATGGGATTGTGGGATAAATGTAGGCCAGGCCATGAAGGGAGCCTCTCGGTAAAAATATGGTACATGTAGTAGGGAGGCTCTAGAGATCTGCTTTAAGAGGCTCTTCATGGGAGAGGAAATGAGAAAGAGGGTAAGGAGGGTTCTGGTAAGCCTGGATGCAGACTCAGGAGTAGGGAGGCTCTCAGCCTACAGTGTTCAGTAAAACTTTCATGAGGAGGGTGCCACTAGCTGTCATTAGGCTGGGGGGCAGGCAGGGTATGGTAGCCACACAGAGGTAAATGTAGTCAGGGTGGCTTTGGATTCTCAGCTACCTCTGCCCTATGAGCTCTATGACCTTGGACAGATAGCCTAACTCTGCTGAGCCTAGTTCCACATCTGTAAAATGGGGAAAGTGCCTCCCTCATGTTACTGCCATGGGGCTAAGTGTATTAATCCACATGAAGCATTCACAGCTACCTGACATACAGCCTGTCCTCTGTAGGTGTTGGTGGTGGTGGGTGGTGATGATCACAATGGGCCAGCCATCATGATGGTTTCAGTGCCTTCCATTATCCATAAGATGCACTGATCACCTGGGAGGGTGTGGTGGACCTTGGCTTTAGCCTTTATTGGTGCATACTGATTCTTTCTCTCTGGGGCTGGGTGTGTGGGAACAGGTAATAGACAACTACAGTGTGATCGGCCGCTCCCTATTCAAAAAGGAGACCAACATCCAGCAATTTGTGGGGCTCAAGGTGCAACTGTCCACTGGGGAGCTGGGGATCATTGACAGCTCCTTCGGCCAAAGTGGCAAGTTTAAGATCCACATCCCTGGTGAGTATGGTTATTTTCTCTTGCTCTCAGGTACTGGCAGGCCATGGACAAATGGCAGAGACAGTCCTCTGACAGTACCCCTTCGCTCAGGGTTCTAGGCCTATCTGTGCTGATGTGTAGAGCTCTATCCACTGTAGCCTCTGGTCCCACTAGTTTGTGGCTGGAAAACCAGTTTGCAATCTGGAGGAGGCCAGTGAGTCAGCATCTGGTTTGAGCCAGGGTCAAGGTCTGAATATGAGTTCTTATTTCACTGTGACAATGTGGGGTGACATTGGATATGTCACATGACTTCTCTGTGAAGTAGGGATAATAATACTGATCTGACAGGTGGTTTGGAGGGAGAGAATTGGTGATTGAGACCACTGCCTTGGTAAGCCAGTAGGATTTCCCAAAATGTGAGTTGCTTCCTTTTAAGACCAGCAGCCTCTGCTGAGCCTCTACTTGGTCTGAGTTGGGCCTTGTCCATGGTGGGGTTAAGGGTGTGTGTTTGCTACTGGAAATAGAGCTGTTGGATTTCTTTAACTCTGCCAGCCCTTCCGTCACTCTCTCACTTTTTCCACACCCATTTTCCTGACATCCTACTGTGTGCCAGACATAGTGCTGTGGTTATGGGAGGGAATAGGTATGGACACACAGGATAGACTGGAGAATCCTCAGGATAGACTGAGGAAAAATAAATTAGGGAGGGAATTGCTGAGTGTGCTGTCTGGATAGGGCAGTCAGAGAAGACCTCTCTGAAGAGGTCGCAGTGGAGTGGAGGCCTGACTGAAGGAAGAAGCCACATAAATACCTAAGGAAGAACATGCTACAGAGAGGGAAGGAGACAAGTGAGAAGACCATGAGGTAAGAATGAGCTTGGTGTGTGAGGACAGGACATTAAGCAGGAGTGGCATGAGTGTGGAGATGTGTGGGTAGTTTTTTGAGTAAACTCCCCAGATAGTGTGGTACTCTGACCTCAGCTAGGAAGTAGGATTCCTTGATCCCTAGCAATCACCAGGCAAAGCCAGCACCTCTACTCTCCCTAAAGCCTGGCTGGAGCCTTGCCTCTCAAATCCTTCCTAAAGCTTCTGGTCACCAGAGGCCTGCTTCTCTGCATACTTAGCTTTGCTGTTTGACTGTGCCCTGAGGCCTTGTCAAGGTGGGACTGAGCTTTATCACACTGTGGAGAGAATCCTTCTACACACCCTTGTGAGCCTATAGCCCTGACACTGAGTTTCAAGCACCTGTCCTACCCAATCCAGTGCTTAGCTGATCCAGTATTCATCTCAGCCAAACTGAGGCCCCCAGCATTCTGCTTTGGGCTCCAGGGCATCACACATAGGGAATGAGCCAAGCACTATCCAGGCCTCAGTGCCCAGGGCCCTGGGCCAGCACCTTTAGGAGCTCTCTGGGAAGGAAGGCAAGAGCAGAGCTGCCTGAAGGGAGGGGCTGCACCTCAGAGCACTTGCCTCTTCCCCAGGTTACTTGGGGCTCTGCTGATACAAACAGAGGGGAGGGCATATCTGTTTGATTCTTTTGAGGTAGATGAATCATGCTGACCTTTCCCTTAGCTCCCTTTCTTCTGGCACAAGGCAAACTCAGAGTTGGGGTATTCCTGGAACAGGACAAAACACAGAAGGGAGCTTGTTTGGGAGCCCTGGGTGCTGGGAGGGAGAAGAGGGAGGGGAGACATGGTGACACTGCTTCAGTCAACTCAAGTTTACATTCCTTTGTTAGGTCAATGTTGTCTATTTAATAGGTCTGCTTCCTGTTTGTGGCTTTTAAGCTTTTTATTAAATATAACTAACTGGTCAGATTCCTTCATCCCACCCACCCCCACTGCACACCCCCACCTCCTTCTTGTCTTTTCCTGCTGATTCCTCCCATAAAGAATTATTTTTGTCCTTTTTGAAGTGCCTTAATTGTGAAGGACTCCTCAGTAAACCCAAGCCATCCAGTGCCAGGTGGAGGAGGACAGACCATTGTGTCTGCAAGTTTGGAGTGCTGAGGTAGAAAAGCCTAGGGTTGTGCTGCTACACAGTTTAAGGTTCCCTGGAGAAGGGAGTGGTTCAGGGGGCCTGTCCCAGCCCTTGGCTCCTAGATGCAGCTGGATTCAAACACAGCTTACTGGCCTCCCTGCTGGCTCTTCAGGGTGACCCAGCTGGAGAAGGCAGACTGGAGAGCCCTCTGGGTATCCTTCCATTCACTCCCTGACCTCCAGGCTCAGAAGCTCTCTCCATCCTCTACCTCCATGTCAAGACCTTGGTGTCAAGACCAGGTGCTGGCAGGTCCAAGCAGGTGTTTAAGAGGCCAGGTGGTAGGTGATAGTGAGTGGTTAGGACTGGTCCAGCCAACACTTGCTATATGGGAATATAGGCCCAGGGATCAAATATTATCTGATTGAACTTCTATAAAAAACTTTCTGATTAAAAACTAATTTTTCTGAACCAAATAAAACATGCCTTTGCCTGGGTTTGACCCATAATGACTCCTGCCTGAATTTCAGGAAGGACACTTGGGCCTTGGATTCAGGAGTGGAAGCTGAAATGTAATATGCAAATAGCGTTTTATCTGCATATTACATTTCAGGAGCTGTACACACAGGCCTGAGAGACAAGAGTCCTGATACTTGCTTCCTGGCCCATTGCTTCCCCAGAAGATACTCTTGGAAATTAGAGTAGCTTGAAGGATAGTTCATTCTGACACCCAAGGAGGCTTCCCAGAAAGTCTTAGGGGACCTCAAGGTTGAAAAGCACCACATTTTATATAATTGTTCTCTTCAATGAAGTTGCCTCCATGAGGCTGGAAGGCTCTTTGAGATGACTTAGGACACTCTGGGTAACAGTGCTGGTAGAAAGTAGCTGGAGGACTTTGCCAGGCAGATAAAGTTTCTCCAAACAAACCTTACTCCTGCACATGTCATCATATCACTGTGCTTCCCGAATGCTGCTTCAGTGCTAGGTGCTTTATGTCAGAGCTGGGTCTTGTTATCTGTACCTCAAGGTGGGATCTAGGAAGCAGAGGAGTGGGTTCCTTGCTCACAATCTTTCTGGGTATGCAGCACCTGCCCTCCCCAGTCAGCCTCTAGAAAGCCATCAGGGCTTCAGAAAGCTCAGCACTGTACCAGGGGGCACACACATAGTTGGACACCCCCTTGCTGAGAAGCTGATAAGGCACAGTGACCTAGCCTGGGCTATATGGCTTATCCTGTCCAGCACTCCCACCCTCCATTCTGTGTCAGTGCCCTAGGCACTAGCTTCTACTATGAGAGGAGTAGGGGTGCCTGGATGGTGGGCTGGGACAATAGCTCCTGCCAACCCTGCACATCCCACTTGGAGAGGAAACAACCTCTTTCATAACATTCACCCAGAGAAGGGTCAAATGAGGATGAATGGAATTGTTGCTTTTGATAGCTATGAGTCACTGCTTATTGACTCTAGGTGTGATGGTGAAGATATGCACATAATATCATCTTCTGAAACACTGTCTATAACCCTAAAATGACCAGTAGGTTGTTATGTGTGTCTCGATAGAATGCAGCAAGCTTTTCAAGTGGCCCCAATTCATGGCAAGTGGTCCATCTCCCACAAGGTGCTCCAGGACCAGCCAATTGGGGGGGGGGGTCTCTGTATGGTCTGCATTAACACTCCAGTTAGGATGGCACAGTGCATACAGGGCTTGCAGCCTTGTCGCTGAAAAATTCTAGGCCCCAAGTACTATTGATGTGATAGGCATCACTGCCCCTCATTGGTGACTATGGCACAGAGCTGTGGGGTGACACTCACTTCAGAAAAGCCAGAGCAGCAGTGATTGAGACCCACAGCCACTGGGAGCCATAGCCATGGCCTCATCATATTCATGGGTCCTCCTGCTCCACCTGCTGAGAATTCACCTATGTGCCAGGAACTTGTGTGGTGTGGCTATATTCTTAATAGAAACCTGACAATGGATCCTGCTAATTTTCATTAAGGGTCATCAAATTTTCATGATCTTTAATAAGATTTTAATAATTACTAATCACAATTTAATGGACTCTAGACAGATGAGGAAAATAATCTGTAGAATTGCACTTCCATTTAAATCATGATACATTTAAAAATTTGTAATTCAATAAAGTTTCTTATTATTAAATAAAAGGAATTGTACTTCCAGTAATAACCCAGAAGGAACTTCTATATACTGCTTTTCAGGAACCAACACTCAAGAGCCATGACGGCAGTCAGAGAAGGGCCCTAGGAAGCTCTCAGAAAGGTTGGCTGTTACTTATAGCCCCAGCACTTGGAATATCCCCAGTTCACAGATGAGGAAACCATGGCTTGGAGGATAAACAGTGTAACTTGCTCATGTCCATATATAAGCATCAGAGATAGAATTTGAGTCCAAAACACTTGTCTGAGTCTCTCCCTCAGCCTTGGTTTCCCATGCACAGGATTGGTTATCTGGTTTGAAAGTACAGCTCTGTCACTTGGGCTGTTTGGGAGAAGGGAATTGTGTGGTCATTCTACTTGGCAGGCCCTTGAGCAGAGGGCCTGTGAGGTCACTGTTGATGGAACAGGGAAGCTGCCATGTGGTCCCTGGGAGAGTGGCTGGACATCAAGAGAGCCACCACCTACTCACCTCCAAAAAGGTGTTCTGAGGAGAGTCCCTAGGCCTCCTTGCTTCAGCTTCTGCCCCTTAAGCCCACGAACAAGGGGTTCAAGGCTCAGTTTACCATCCTGGTCATAGTCTGTCAAGACAATGAGAGTGGCTTTCCATGGAATCAGAAATGTTGCTTACACAAATGAGTAAGCGAAGTGGAACATCTTCAGTGGAACAGACTGGAATGAACAAATGGATGAACCCAGGCCTATGAGGGGCAAGAAGCCTGGTGCTTGGTATGCTGTGGGCCTTCCCAGAAATTCTTCTAACTCAGGCAGGCACCAGTGTCATTAGACTTATTTATCACAGCTCTCTCCTGATAACTGGCTTTGGGGGCTCTAGTTCTTTAAAGACAACTTTAAAGGAGAGGGCACCAGTCCATC